CATTCTATAACACAAATCATCTTTCCCCTGCAGTTCAACCGTTTAGCTTTAAACTTGTTACTAAAGAAAGGGTTTTGGATATTTTTTCTAAAATTAAGTCATGTGCAAAGGGTCTGGATGGCCTAAACTTAGATCTTTTGATTCCCCTAATTCCATACTGTATCGATGCATTAACACACATTATAAATTTTTCACTAGAAAAAGGTGTCGTGCCGAGCCTATGGAAAGCCGCTATGGTTAGACCTCTTGCAAAAATTGATGATACGATAGCACCTGGTGATTTCAGGCCTATTAGTATACTGCCATTGCTATCTAAAATTCTGGAAAGAATTGTCTATGAGCAAATACTAGGACACATAAATAAAAACAGTTTGATTCCAAATGTTCAGTCGGGGTTTCGGAAAGGTCACAGTACGGTTACCACTTTGATAAACATATGTGATGACTATATCAGAGCTATGGATACATCTTGTGTCACAACGTCAATTCTAGTTGATCTCAGCAAAGCTTTCGATTCTATCAATCATGAATTGCTTCTTGGTAAGCTGCATTATCTTGGATTTTCTGATAGTACTGTTACGTGGTTTAGGAGTTACTTGCATGAGCGGTCACAGCTAGTCAATGTAGGCGGCTGTATGTCCGATAAGCGTGCGATTTTGAAGGGGGTACCGCAGGGCTCCATACTTGGCCCAATTTTGTTTACTTTGTATACGTTCGATCTAAGTCGTGACATTAAATATTGTTCTATTCAGTCTTACGCTGACGATACCCAACTGTATTTGTCTTACCGTCCTTTCGATTTCCTGGAGGCAAACAGGAGAATGTCTTGTGATCTAGATCGTGTTGCAAAGTGGTATAACGATCACGGGTTACTTATCAATTCAAACAAATCTGCTGTCATAACTATTAAGTCCATACAAAGTAATTTCGATAGTAACTTGATAGAATTACACCTGGAAGGTGGAGACTTGCTTCATATAAAATCCGTGAAAAATTTAGGAGTAATAGTGGATGAACATCTCACGTTTCACGATCACGTTTCCAGGGTTGTGCAAAATTCATATGCTAAGCTCAAGACAATTTACAGTTATAAACATGTATTATCTAGTCAAACCAAGATCAAGCTTTGTAACTCTTTGATTCTCAGCAAAGTCGAATACGCTGATGCGGTGTATGGTCCATGCCTGACACAGTCGGAAGCTTATAGGATACAAAAAGTGCAAAATAGTTGTATCAGGTATTCATTAGGTGTTCCGTGAAGGGGACACATTACTAGATACATTAAGGATGTCAACTGGCTCACGATGCGTCAGAGATGGATTGTACACTTGTTGGTCATAGTACAGACAGTCCTATTAACCAAATATCCAGCATATCTGAGCAGCAAACTCTCATTTAGAAGTCAGTATCACTCGGCGAACTTACGCTTTGTAGGTTATACCCTCGATATGCCCCCCCATAAATCAACACAATTCACAAAGTGCTTCTCATACATAGCGCCTTCCCTTTATAATTGTCTATCATCAGATCTGAAAAGTTTGAGTAACAATAATTTTAAAGTTAAAATAAAGCAATTTGTTCTCGATAATACCTAATTCTATACTAAGCTTTCATCTTGTAACTGCTGTGATTCTACATTAAGTGTCTGGTTGTGGTCTTTTTTTTTCATTATTTCTGTTTCAGTGAGTGTGTGAGTGAATGTGATTTAAATCTGTCTTCACATTTTACACACTATTATGTTGTATTTGTCACTTTTCAGTACTATATGTCTTGATCATTATTTTTTTTGTATCTGTGATTTTTTTATGTTTGTTAAACTTATGTAGCCCTGGTTGGTACCAAAAGCAGCTATTAGCTGATACACCCGCCAGGTAAAATAAAGGCATATTATTATTATTATTATTATTATTATTATTACTTAGCCCTTCTCGTCAAATGGAGAGTGAGTACTTTTTCCTTTATTTTTTTTACTTGGTCGCCCTCGTTTCACTACACGTTACCTTTGTTATTTCAAGGGTAGTTGTTTCTGAAAAGGAAAACCCCAACTTTGCGGACACCCTGTATATCTAATCCTAATAGGATGCGGGCAAACTAATTTATGTTCGAATTGAGATACGCACCCCTTTAATTTTTTTCATTTGACTCTAACAACTCAAAAAATAAATATTATTGCGAACGATAAGCGACTTTTGGTCAAACTTTGCATTTGAAAGTTGAAACGGATACGATGTTATCATTTCAAGACCTAATCCTTATTCGACAAATACAAGCATGGACGTTTTGTGCTTTTTGACAGCTCATCAGCATCGACTAGGCTTGGCCTCGGGTTAGGACAACAAACAAAAGTATAGAAACTAATCTCTATTTGAGGTGCTAGAGATATCGAAACAAGACATCATAAGGGGCCGTTCATTGCCAGAATCGCAGTTTATGCTGACTTATTTTAACAGTTAACATTATACAGGGTGTCTCGAAAAAAGTGTGCAATATTCTACCAGCGGTTTCTAGAGCTTAAAATAGGAAGAAAAGTTTATATAAACATAGGTTGACAAACGTCCCCTAAGGGCGCTACGGTCTTTTAAAGGGGCTCCACTGAAGATGGTTTTTCCTTAATATTTCCGAAATGTGTTGAGATAAAGACATAAAATTTGCTATTCTAGCCTAGTTTTTTATCCTGGATTTAAAAATATTAACTCAAGGCGATTCTCAACTTCGCTAAAAGGGCGAGGCTTGTGATCTAAGGATTGTAGAGGTGCATAAGGGCCCGCTTAAGCGGCCTATGCACTGGCTCCTAATGGTGGCCGGAACTAAATTGTTTAGAACAAGTACGCAAGTCTGCCATCTTACTTGCTCGCCGTCCAGACGTACAAGTTTAACTGTATAAGCAGGTTTGTGCAAGTAAAACTTTCAGCAGAGCGACGTTCACAGAAGCCGCACTTTTTTGGTTTACGTGAGCTACCAGTTTACCGTCCACACGCTACATGCTCCCGGTACAAGCCCGTTTACACAAGATAATACTTGTACGTGTGGCCGGGGCTTAAGACGCGCCTTTTCTTATTTTATGGCTAATTACTTGTCCACCAAAGCTAAATGAGCAGGTCAACCTGGCTCTCTATGCCGCTTCAAGAAGATCCTAACTTCATTTATTTCCATTAATATAAGGGCATCGACATACGCAATATCAAATATACTAAGTGACATATAAATCCGAACGCCCAGTTTAAATGGTTTTATTTTAATAAAATTTTGTATAAGTACTTAATGAAGCATAATAAGTAAATGATAAAAATTTCAAAATGATTGCACTGCTTTAAAGCCCTTTGACCTTTAATAATGTGTGGATACACCCTGATGTGCTACGCATTCTCCAACGCGCCTAGGCATGCTTCTGATCAGGTGGTCAATGTCCTCCTGTAGTATCTCATTCCAGGCAACCACCAACTCATCTCGAAGTGCTTCTAGAGTCTGAGGAAGACGTTGCAAATTGCATATCCCACACGTGCTCAATTAGGGATAAGTCGGGAGATCTTGGTGGCCATGGTAACAATGTGACATCATTATGATGAAAGAAGTCTATTGTGACTCTTGCAACATGTGGTCGGGCATTATCTTGTTGGAAAGTTGGATCTGCCAGGGTGTCAAGATAGGGTAAAAGATGGGGTTCTAGAACTTCGTGGATTTAACGCTGCGCGTTCATGTTACCTCTGATGAAGATTAAAGGTGACCTGGAACCATAAGCTACAGCACCCCAAACCATAACTCCAACAGTGTGATTAACATGTCTTTCAACAAAAAACTGTGTTCTCGAGTTAAAGGGTGGCCGGTATGAAAACAAGCCAAAACTTCTCATTCGTCGGTAAACACTTCGCATGCCAATAAGTCTTCCGTGTTCTGCAAACCATTCATTTGCAATCGACCTGGTAGTGGAGAAACGGTCCCTTAAGGCAAATAATCTTAGGCGGCGACCTTCACGGTCTGTGACTCACTAAGTTGACGAAATCGTACAGGTCTCCGTACTCTAGGCATCGTAACCGATCGTAAAGGATGTCAAGAACCAAAATCCGCCAACGTTGATTCTTTACCGCGGCTGAAATATTCATTTTTAGAGCGTTAGTGAATTAAAAAAAGCAGTATAAAAACCGGAATGTCCAACTGATAAGGCTGAAAATTTTTTCACTTGTTATTTACAATAAGATAAATACATTCACCAACTTTTATTAAAATAAAACCATTTAAACTGGGTGTTCGGATTTATATGTCACTTAGTATAGATTGTCCAAGTTCGTAACAAGCTTTTGTCGACGTTGCTCTTGTGTTTTGCTTGATTTTTTTTTGCAAATCTTTCCAAACTTGGTATAAGGTAACTAGTTCCTTAATAGTTAGTTAGTTAGAGATTAAGTCGGTATACGTGCTTTTTCTAGTAAATAATGCACTCACGAATAGTGAGATTGTTGCCCTCATCGACACTTAATTTCGCTTCCGGGATATTATAGAAAAAAACTGCTACTTAAGTTTGACTTTGTAGAGTTTTGAAGCGATAATGTTTTCCGCTCCCTATTAAAAATATTGCCTTTTTAGAACTGTGTAATTCCTTCGTCATGTTGACTGAAAGAAAACAGTGCGTTTACTAATAGAACAAACGAGCACTGCAATACGTTAGCAAGTTTTGACATACTCCAATGCAACTCGGCATGGATTGCCCTGGTTCTAGGTATACATATAAAACTTTATTTACAACTGTTTAGAGGGCATGCGTTTGAAAAAATGAACTTTAATTTTTTTAGGACACTCTAATAGATGATAAAAAACGGCTAAAATTATACATAAACAGTCAATAATTTTTGTCCTATCACTGAAATATTTGGCTTAACGTCTGAGATATGTCAAAAACAGTTATAGAATCAGATGGCATCCAAAAACTGAACAATATGCACCTACAACATATCAGGATATCATCACGATACTGTTTCTCTAAATTATTGTTGTCTTCTCAACAACAGGAATCAAACAAAGTCGAAGACATCAAATTGGTAGACTTTCAGCTATGCAGGGTGGGTACTCCAGTATTCGACCTATCCTATTGTTTTTACTCTGGGGCATCCGAGGAGCTATTGGCACAGTTAGATTACTTCCTGGATATATACCATGGCAGTCTATCACAAAGTTTGAGACAATTCGATTTGGATCCTGCTATAGTTTACCCAATGTCGACATTGAGAACAGAGTGGAAAAAGTATTGTAGGTAAGTACCTAATATGACCTTAGTGGTAAGCTCGAACAGTGAAAATTGAAACACGTTAGCTACTGCTCAGTCACATCTCAATTCAACCTATTGTCAACTTTTAGAATACCTATCATTATAACTATACTAAGTGACATATAAATCCGAACACCCAGTTTAAATGGTTTTATTTTAATAAAAGTTGGTGAATGTATTTATCTTACTGTAAATAACAAGTGAAAAAAATGTCAGCCTTATCAGTTGGACATTCCGGTTTTTATACTGCTTTTTTTTAATTCACTAACGCTCTAAAAATGAATATTTCAGCCGCAGTAAAGAATCAACGTTGGCGGATTTTGGTTCTTGACATCCTTTACGATCGGTTACGATGCCTAGAGTACGGAGACCTGTACGATTTCGTCAACTTAGTGAGTTTGATAGGGGCCGTATAGTGGGACTTCGGGAAGCTGGACCTTCTTTTCGGGCAATTGCAGTTGGAGTGCAAAGAAGTGTAGGCACTGTGGTTAGGCGTTGTCAGGCATGGCTTCGAGAAGGCCGTACGCAAAGAGCAAGGGGCACTGGACGCCGCCGTAGAACAACAGACCGTGAAGATCCCCTGAGATTATTGGCCTTAAGGGACCGTTTCTCCACTACCAGGTCCATTGCAAATGAATGGTTTGCAGAACACGGAAGACCTATTGGCATGCGAAGTGTTTACCGACGAATGAGAAGCTTTGGCTTGTTTTCATACCGGCCACACTGGGTCCTCCCTTTAACTCGAGAACACCGACGTAATCGCCTTGAGGTCACTTTGGGATCAGGAATGGAACAGTATTGTCTTTAGTGACGAGTCTCGATTTTGTTTAGGCATGCACGATGGTCGTGCCAGGGTTAGAAGGCGACGTGGTGAAAGGAGGAATCCACAGTTTTTTGTTGAAAGACATGTTCATCACACTGTTGGAGTTATGGTTTGGGGTGCTATAGCTTATGGTTCCAGGTCGCCTTTAATTTTCATCAGAGGTAACATGAACGCGCAGCGTTATATCCACGAAGTTCTAGAACCCCATCTTTTACCCTATCTTGACACCCTGGCAGATCCAACTTTTCAACAAGATAATGCCCGACCACATGTTGCAAGAGTCAGTCACAATAGACTTCTTTCAACATAATGATGTCACATTGTTACCATGGCCACCAAGATCTCCCGACTTATCACCAATTGAGCACGTGTGGGATATGATGGGTAGGAGATTGCTCAATTTGCAACGTCCTGGTAACAACGATAAATTATTGCAATTCATGGTGAAAAATAGTTTTTAGTACAATAAGCTGTCTACTCAGTACGTCGTATTTATCTGTTTGTGACGTGAAAAGTGAGATAAGAAATAGAATGTCATTTCTAACGAAAGCACTGTTAATCTTGCACGATGTTCAGTAACAATGATAGAGTCATTTTTGAGAATTTAAGTGTGAAAATACACGACGTACACGACAATATTCTGTGATCGATTTTCCGAAATTTTGTAAATTTGGCATCAGCTTGTTTTTTTTTTTGATACAACACCAGGTTTTCAAGGTAATTCAAGAACCACTGCCAATTTTAATTAAATAAGTGGCTACAAAAAAGACATGGAAAGCTCATATAAACATGAATCCATGGTTCCTTTCTGGGGCACACGGTGTTCGACGTTATAGTCTTGAAGTCGATGAAAAAAATATATCTCTGAGGTATATCCAACTAGAATAGGAGTTTCTGAGATTCAGTCCATACCCAAAAACATTTCAATTATACTTCTAACTTGAAAGGAGATTTCGAAAGAACAGTAGACTCAGAAAACTGAAGGGGTTCTGGTTTGCGAGACTAAAAGCAAAAGATCGTTTAACCAATACGATTTCAAACATCAAAATGAATCAGTTCCATAAAAAACGAACCTAGTACTTTGCCATTTAAGAAAATACGTACCTATAAAGACTTACTTGTAGAATAGCTGCGCAAACTCACTATGAACGAACAAGCTACCCCATCTTTTACCCTATCTTGACACCCTGGCAGATCCAACTTTTCAACAAGATAATGCCCGACCACATGTTGCAAGAGTCAGTCACAATAGACTTCTTTCAACATAATGATGTCACATTGTTACCATGGCCACCAAGATCTCCCGACTTATCACCAATTGAGCACGTGTGGGATATGATGGGTAGGAGATTGCTCAATTTGCAACGTCCTCCTCAGACTCTAGAAGCACTTCGAGAGGAGTTGGTGGTTGCCTGGAATGAGATACCACAGGAGGACATTGACCACCTGATCAGAAGCATGCCTAGGCGGGTTGGAGAATGCGTAGCACAACAGGGTGCATCCACACATTATTAAAGGTCAAAGGGCTTTAAAGCAGTGCAATCATTTTGAAATTTTTATCATTTACTTATTATGCTTCATTAAGTACTTATACAAAATTTTATTAAAATAAAACCATTTAAACTGGGTGTTCGGATTTATATGTCACTTAGTATAAGATCTCAGATCAAATCACACAAAAATGCAAACAGCCCCGGATCGGGTAAATAGTGATCGACCATCACTGAACCCTACGAGTATCTAATTTTTGTTTGGTGATTGACAGATATGGATTCTGTTCTGCTATGACGATATGGAAAGTGAAACTTGCTTCAGAAGAAGATGCTCTGGATATGACGAAGTCTGAGGAGGAAATACGAGAGAATTTTGGGGGAGATAAGCGTATAACTGAAGAGTACCTGTGTAAAATTCAAGAGCTAGTGCATCATATGAGAGAGAACGGTTTTGCGTGAATTGAATGATCTTTATATTATACAGGGTGTTCGTTTGAAAACTCCCCACCACGGATTTATCGCCAAGACACGTCAAAAGATTTGTTAAGGGGGACGACTTTTTAACCAAAAACTTCTTCACCCGCTTTCACTCTTTGCCCACCCGGGTCATCCATTTAAAAAATTCAAATGTCAAGGAGTATCGAGTAATAGCTTATTTGAAAGGTCATTGTTTTGACGTTTAATTTCTTAAAATCGGTCGGTACGCTGTTAAGAAAATTAAAAAAATACAGTTCGTCTAGGATATCTGTCTTCTAATTCGGGTTGTTATTTGGTTGTTGCCACGTCTAATTTTCCGAATTGCTGTTTATGTTGGTAGTTTCTTAAAGTATAAAACAATTATGTTTTTGGCAAACCCTAACGGGCAACCTTGTGAATACGTATTAAGTTAAATAGTTGAATCCAGTTCAAGTGAGACCAGACACAACAACCAGCACGCGTCGCTGGCATGATGGTCGTAGACACAAGAACCGAGCAGGGTCGGACTCAAAACTATGGAAATATTAAGGTGATATTTCAGAACTAAATATTTAAAAAAGAGACATCAGTAAATAATAACACAACACTACTGTCACAGAGTCAATAGAGGTGATTGAAAGTTAAGGGGGGCACAAAAAGTAATTATACATGTGTGTTTGACAAAATCAATATTTTTCACTTTCACTAGAAGAGCTGTCATCATAGATGTTGATAATTAGCGGTTCAATATGCCTTTCAATTATGTTGTCTAGCTCCCGCATTGCAACCTCCACTTTCTCCTGAACATGCTTCATACATTTTAACCATTTTTCTGGTGTGATTCTCTGCAACGCAAGGTTGAACAGCTCTTTCATGTCGGAAAACTTGAATGTTGTGTTATGTTCAGCAACAAAATCCTTTATATCTGCCCATATGAGCTCAATGGGGTTGAGCTCACAGTGGTAAGGAGGCAAACGAAGTACCATTTTATTGTGCGCTTTTGCCATCTCGTCCACTATATATTTATCATATTTTGCTCTGTGTTGTATAGTTGTATAGTTTTTGCACGTAACCAGTCCTGTATCTCTGATTTCTTAAAAGATGAATTTGGAATTTTTTCTAATTTCCGAGAATGATACGGAGCATTATCCAGGACCACCACAGAATTGTCTTTAAGACGTGGTAAAATGCCTAAAAACTAGTTTTCGAATGCCTCACCATTGATCCCTTCGTGGTAGCCAGTGGTTTTTTTTTATTCAAAACACCATAGTCCTTCCTTCACGAAGCCATCTACACTCCCGATGTGGCAAATAATGAGCCTTTTTCCTTTGCCTATGAAGATAAAACTTGTTAAATACGGATGTACATTATATGTCTTTCACAAGAGTACTGAGGCCACGGAGATAGGGACACATTTCTGTATTTTATATACGATGCTATATTGTTTCTCATGATAGCGGGATGCATACGGTGAGATATATTGGACACTTCAACCAATGCATCATTTAATCTGTTGATGAACATGGTTACCTTAAAAAACAAAAAGAAACAGGCAACATCAATTAAACTAAAAAATTATCAAGTGTGACAAACTTATCGAAAAATTTACAAATCAACGCAATGTCTGACGTTGTTAATTAACGTGTTACATTCCGTGACGAACGAGATATGTTGTCTCTGAAACGCTCGCATTGCTGTAAAAAATCTTGTCATCGATACCATAAGAATTCCAACGTAGAATACATTGATTTCCAGAGTGAACATCCCCTCGTTTTTTCTAGACATCTGATAACGTGTAATGCCTCATTTAAATTACTGGCTATGAAAAATTATCTAATAACTATTGTTGGATTTTCTAAAATGGAATGTCTGCATTGCCTGTAGGGTTTTTAAGCCCAGTTGAAAACCCATCTAAAAACGCTCTTCTTGCTGACGTTACTGTTTGGTCCACCCAAACTTTTGATTTTGTATGTCCAGCATTTATCCACGTCTCGTCCTGGAAGTAAACTCTACGGTTTTGGCTCCTGTATGTTTTTATTTTTGTCAAATACTCTCTCCTCCATAGTATAATTTCATCTCTATCCATCAATGAACTGTTTCGGCCTCTCTTCTGCAAATTGAAGTTGAGTTCCTTTGATAGCCTGTAGAACGTCGTTTTACTAAAATTCGGCAAATCTGAGTCTTCATTCACTACTTGCAAAATCTTATCAATTGTAGGAATTTCATTCTGGAAAAAGAATTCATGAACCTTCCTTCTGATCGCATGTATGTCAGCAGCATCTATTTCTTTAATTTGGCTTTTACGGTTCTGGTTCGTTTTAGGTTCAGCAAATGCATTCCGTAATTTATATTCTTTGAGTACTCTAAATACCGATGCACGAGAAACTCCAACTTTATTCGCCACCCTCTGCACAACATCGTTGACGCTGAGCTCAGGTTTTTCCTCCGTTTCAGATTTGTAAACATTTAAAATAATTTCTTTCACTTCGATGCTCAAATGGTTTTGTCTTGATCGTTTCCTGGGTGGACTCAATGTAGTTCTCCCTTCATCAGCTGTGTCGGTAGAAGACATGGTCAAAAAACACCAGACATAACAGAACTTATAACAGCGATGCACTCGACGCCACGCCGCGGCCTGATTACAACTCTGGTTTTTGTAGACATCAACGCGGCGCAACGGCGGGTTTTGTATTGCTACAGTCTAACTAGGTCTTAAAAAATGTTCGAAACTGCATGTTTTCCAAATTCATGGAGTTTTATATTGGAGCCACTTCAGGACATTGTATTTAACAAAAGCATCAATATGAGGGGCGGAAAGTTTGAAAAAAGAAAAATAAAAGCTACGAAATGAAGCTATTAGTTGAAAAAGCAAGCGCTTCAAACTACAACTTCAAACCGTAAAATGCCTGAACTATAATGAGACCCTCTGCGGGAACATCGATCACGCGCTGATCACGCTTCGAGTTTGCGATGTTGTGGTCTCACTTGGGCTGCATTTTAGTATAGTGTGTTTTTGTTTCATGTCTGAACAAATTAAGATACTCGTGGATAAAGATTTTTCTAATTTTCTCGAAAACGAATCGACTGTTCAGGGAAAACCAAACGTCTAAGTAGAGGACTTAGAAAGGCCTTTCAAACAAGCGATGACTCGATACCTCTTGTCATTTAAAATTTTTAAGGGTATGACCCTGGTGGGCCGAGGTGAAGTAGTTTTTGGTTAAAAAGTTGTCCCCCTTGACAAATCTTTAGATGTATCTCGGCGTTTTTTAATCAGTGGTTTTCGTAAATTCGTCGTGTATAATGGCAAAGTATCCTTTTTTAGCGATTCCTTAATTCCTTAAATCCAACTTACACGTGCAAATGAAGTTGAACCTATTTAACCCAATTTAATTGATGGTTTAAAATACAGGAAATTTTAGGTACACCAGGTATTTTTTGATGTAGAATATTTTTTAATATTTCTACCAGTGGCGTTCGTATCCTGGAGATTTTTCAAAAAAAATGTATATGCCATTGCCTTTTTCAAAACATATTTTTGAAATCATCGTTTATCTTGCAATGAATTTGACCTGTTCACTTTTTTCCGTCTGATGCACCGTTTTTGCGTAAAAACAGAAAAACCATTTTCAGACATTTGTGGTATAACGAAATTATTTTGAACTTGAAGACTGGTGCCCTATTTTGTTAAATAGTGTCATTGGATCGATTACGTTGCGGTCCTATTTTGAGGTCATATAAATTTTTCTTGCTAAAATGAGCTAAGGAATAATATCTTGTATTTTCAGCCATCACTTAAGTTACACCCTGCATAATGTCAAAGAAGTCTATGTATAGCAATATAATAGAATGTACGATTGTAATGAAGATTTCTATAGTAATATACTCTCCACACTTCTCTAATTGAACGTTAATATTTAAGGGGGCGACTTTTGTGACTACATTAAGAAGAAAGCTTGACTTTTGACATGAAGGGTGGTAACGTTTTCAATGAATTGATTTTACTCAAAATGAAAAAAAAAATATGTTTCTATTCATTTACGAAAAGATTTGATCTCTTGAATTTTTTTAATTCGACGCAAGGTTTTCATCTGACAAAATACACGCCCCTTCCCACTTCAGTTGGCCCACTTCAAGATTTGTACCAAAATATGCCTTTATAAACTAAATATGACGAAACTATTCACTTCTAAAACAATTTATTTTCTCAAAAACATTTTAGATACACTCTAGTCGTAAAAAATACATATTTGAAATCACTTAGACCTATAACTAATAGAACATCTGAACAAATAAACAATGTGCGAATAAATGCGCGAAGTTAACAAAGCAACAATTGAAAGATTACCATTGGGTAACATCACCTTTATTTTTTATTACGGCTGAAATTCTTTGGGGCATAGTGTTAACCAAGTTTTGGCAAAAATTTGGTGTAAAACAAACCCATATTTCTTGAAGCTTTTGTCCCAGTTCGGTGATTGTTGGAGCAGGATGTTGTCGTAGAACCTTTTTCATCTCGTGCTACAAAGTTGCAATAGCTGATAGATCTGGACTGCTAGAAATCCATTTCAAAAGTGGTACATTATTTTCTTCCATCCATTTTATAGCCTTTTTTGAGGTATGGCACGCTGCACCATCTTGCTGAAACACAAAATCTTGGCCGGATGTCAAACATTCTTCCATCACTGGTAAAAGCGATTCTTCTAAAATTGCCAAATATTTGTTTGTATCCACATTTCCATCAAAAAAATGAAGTTTTCCTACTCCTGTTGATGACATACTGCCCCAGACCATAATGGATGCTGGAAATTTCACTTTTCTCTTCAGACAGTCAACATGGAATGCTTCATTTTTTTGCGAATAACTCTACTGCGACTGTCACCAACACAAACTTCGAATCGGGCCTCACCACTTCATTGTATTGCACACCATTGTTGAGGTGTCCATTGTCTATGTTCTTTAGCCCATCTAAGCCGATTTTTCTTTTGCAGTGGAGTTAATAGTGGCTTTTCTTTGGCCTATAAACAAGTTGTGCAACTTTAGGGTTTTTACTTCACTTTTTTTTATAAGAAAACTTACCTTGCAAGTGCTAAATCCCAGTTTGTGGGCCTCTCTATGAGTTGTGGACCTCGAAATTCTCCTTCCAACAGCGTCACTCCACAGAGCACTTAATTGTAAATAATTGGCACGCCTGTTTTTCACGATTATTCGTCTTAATGCTCTTCAGTCGGCATTTGTGATATTACTTTTTTCACATTTCGTGGCTTAATATTAACTGAACCAGTTACGTTATATCTTCTAACAATATTTCTCACACTGTACCGCGATAAGTCTAACAAATTTGCAATTTTTGAGTTTGATTTCCCGGAATTAAAAAATTTAATTACACTGGTCAACACTGGTTTTCCACACGAACTTTGACAGCTAATTTTGTTTTATCAGTCCACCCTCATTATTACATGACAGCTGTCATATGTCTATTAGCCTCATATTTGTTGTGATACGGTAATACTCATAACTAGTACTAAGTTGTTGAATTTGAACACTTGTTTGTGATTTATTAACCCTGTGAATATGTCGAGGAAGTGTAATAATGATCCTAACTCTTTTTGTTATGTCTGCGGAGAACTAACATTCAAAAAACAACGACGAAATTTTACGAATCTTGTGTTGGAGTGTTATCACCAATGTTTTGGTTTTTCTGTCGCCCATCAAGACAAATCCTGGGCCCCTCATGTCTGTTGCATAACGTGTGTGAAAAATTTAACTGACTGGAAGAAAGGTGCACGACCTATGCCGTTTGCTGTACCCATGATATGGACTGAACAGCGAGATCACGTTTCAGATTGCTATTTTTGTCTCACAGACATAAAAGGTATAAATTACAAGAAAAAAACCACAGGTATTTACCCTAACTTATCTTCGGCTATAAGACCAGTCTCTCATTGTAAAAAATTGCCAGAACTAATACCAGTTGCAACTACGTCTGTTGAGAACAATTCACAACCGTCCACTTCAGGTGAATGTGTTGACGAGGACGATGACTTTGAGTTAAAAGGAATTGTAAACGAGCCACATTTGATAACTCAAGGAGACCTAAATGATTTGGTTCGGGATTTAAATTTGTGAAAAAAGCAGTCAGAGCTATTAGGATCACGTCTAAAAGAATGGAATTTGCTACATCATAATACAAAAGTTAGCTATTTTCGAAACCGTGATCAACACTTCAGAACGTATTTTTCTCAGGATGGAGATTTGTTGTTTTGCAATAACATAAATGAGATTATGAAAATGTTGGACATAGAGTTTGATCTCTCTCAGTGGCGTTTATTCATTGATTCTTCGAAAGCAAGTCTAAAAGCAGTGTTATTGCATAATGGAAATAAGCTTCCGTCTGTACCTCTGGCCCATGCTGCAAATATGAAAGAAACCTATGAAAATATGAAACTTTTACTTGAAAAAATAAATTACAGTACATATACCTTCAAAATCTGCTGTGATCTTAAAGTTGTTGCACTATTACTTGGACTTCAGCTGGGTTATACAAAGTTTTGCTGCTTTTTATGTGAATGGGATAGCCGAGACAGAACTAATCACTATATAAAAAAAAACATGGCCTACGCGTGCATTGTTAGTTCCTGGGCAAAAAAACGTAAAGTATTTACCCCTTGTACAGCCAAATAATGCGCTTCTACCACCATTGCATATCAAATTAGGATTAATAAAAAATTTTGTGAAGGCAATGGATCGCAATGGGAGTGGATTTTTGTATCTAAAAGAAAAATTCCCTAAAATAAGTGATGCAAAGATAAAAGAGGGTATTTTTGTTGGTCGTCAAATTAGGAAGTTAATAAAAGATTCAAGATTTGAAGAAAAATTAAGCGATTTAGAAACATCTGCATGGAAGGCTTTTAAAAATGTTGTTGCAAATTTTTTGGGTAACCACAAGAGTGACAGGTACAGAGAGTTGGTTAGCGAGCCATTATTGTCATATCAAGCATTGGGTTGCAACATGTCACTTAAGATCCATTTTTTAGAATCGCACCTGGTTTTTTTCCTGACAATTTAGGGGCTGTCAGCGACGAGCACGGTGAGAGGTCCCATCAGGACATTTCTAATATGGAAAAGCGGTACCAGGGCAAATGGAGCCCAAATATGTTAGCAGATTACTGCTGGACAATTAAAAGGGACCAACCAGAAGCTAAATATTCAAGAAAATCTTAGATTACTAAGTCATTTATAAAAAAAAATAACTTTTGATTTACGAGATCTGTTTTTTCTTAATATTTTAAATTACTCAATAGAATAAAATCGTTGTCTAGCAAATTTTTTTAACTGTTTATTTTTTCTTACAATCACCAATTAAAGTAAAAAATATCAAAAAAGTCCGTGTGGCACAACAAAGTTAAAATTTTGTTGACCAGTGTTATCAGTAACCGAATTTTCTCACTAATAACCTTTCCTCTACCCATTTCGAAAACCTTAACTACCCAAAACTATTTTAAACGTATTCTGACAGCTGTGATTAATAAAAACAATTGTCATGGCTTTTATTTTTCACAGCCACCTATGCGTTATAGACTTATTTTGCATTGAAATGAAAATAGGTTGATATGCTGTAATTGCAACATGTGTTATTTTTATGCTGCAAATTTGATTAGGGAGTGATAAAGTTGGTGTTTTCTACTATATCTTATCAAAATATTCATTGTTAATATTTTAAACCTATAACACCCTGCTACATTTTTATTATTTGTGTTTGTTAAGAAAAAAACTAAGATTTCAATAGTTGGGCAAACTGAAGTGGGATGGGGCTCGTAAAGGCCATTTCTGTGCATGGTGATAATTGTCATATTATTGATATTGTTATGATCATGCAGAGAAACGGTTTTACTTTTTTATGCGAAATCCGCGCACGGGCTTGAAAAAATCAGGCTACCAACTTAAATCGATGGAGATTTAAAGAATAAGTTTAATTTTAACAGAAATCAGTGGCGTACCATTAATGTCTATGAAAATTGATAGGTGAAGTTACATACGAACGCCACTGGAGGAAATTAAAAAATGTATCACACCAAATCCTTTTAATACCTAGTACATGTCTGACAAATTTCATTAAAATATCTAAAGTGGTATACATTATAGAGTCGTTTTATAAATCAAAAAAATTACAATTCGATATTAATAATAAATGATTTGGTTTTGAAAACTGTACCACCATGTATCACAAGTTTCCTTCTCAAAATGGAAACCCTGAAAAATTGAAATTCAATGAGGAAACATCCTGTATAGAATGGTAGCGCGCCAGGACACAATTTTTACATTTCTGGTGTATCATCGTGGTGAACTGTTCAACAACCTGGTATTTATGGGCAAATGATTCTGATATACATGAATACAAAATGTATCTGTAGCAATGCTTCAATTTGTAAAGTTTACACATGGTTTTCTGTTAATGTTAAGGTTTTTGAGCATTTGTGGCAGAGAGAGAGATAGAGAGAGACAAATGTTCTGGAATAATTATTCTATATGTTGGGGGCAAAGACGATCAATTGTCGATGAAAACATAACTCACTAATGCTTTAACAACCATTGCTCGAGAAATGACGCCGATTCTCCGTCATAGTGATACAGTGGAGTGTAAAGTCAAATTATACTGGACAACAAATTTTAGTTTTTTAATTGTATCTTGTGGGAACAGTGCACTTCTTTGTTAATTTTGGGGCGCTGAATCCAAAAATGACAATGAAATAAAAAAATTAGTTGCGGTTTAGAAAAAAAACTTTTTATTTTTAAGGATATATTAAAAAAAGTAACAAGAGTCCAACAGTAGTCTGCAAGCATGGAAGGATTCCACTTTCCCTGGTACCTTTTATCCATTGTTGAAATATCCTGATGAAAACGTTCGCCATGCTCATCACTTACGGCTCCGCAATTGTCAGGAAAAAAGTCCAGGTGTGAGTGTAGGAAATGTATCTTAAGAGACATATTACAGCCCATCTTTTGATACGATGACAGCATATTTTTGACAAGGGTTTTATAGTTGTCAGCTTTTCTATTGCCCAAGAAATTAGTGACCACCAGACGGAAATCATTCCAAGCAGTTTTTTCAATACCTGTTAAAGTGTTTTCAAACTGTGTATCTTTCAAAATATTTCGAATCTGTGGCCCAACAAAAATACCTTCTTTAACCTTTGCCTCACTTAGTCTTTGAAATTTCTGACGCAGGTATTGAAAAGCTGACCCATCTCTATCTAATGCCTTGACAAAGTTTTTCATTAGGCCCAACTTGATATGCAGTGGTGGTAATAAAAATTTTTTCGAATCTACTAATGGCATATCCTGTACATTTTTTTGACCTGGCTCTAGGAATTGACGAACAGGCCACTTTTGCTGGTGTAATGAAGTGCCTTTGCCCGACTGTCCCATTCACCAAAAAAACAGCAAAACTTTGTGTAGCTTAGCTACAGCCCAAGTAAAAGTGCAACAACTTTCAAATCGCCACAAATATGCCATTGGTGCTCATCGTATTTTATGCATGTCAATAGGTGCTTCATATTGTCATATGATTCTTTCATGTGAACTGCATACCCTACAGGAAGAGATGGTAAAATATTTCCAATATGCAATAACACTGCCTTTAAACTCAATGTTGAACTGTCTATAAACAATCTCCATTCTTCTGGGTTATAGTTTATATTTAAAGCCGCCAGTAAGCCGTTAATGTTACTGCAGAAAACCAAGTTATTCTCCATATTGAAAAATGGTTCTAAGTATTTGTGGCGTTTACGAAAAACACATACCGAAACATCGTCTTCTAACAAGTTCCACTGCTGCAGTCTTGATCCAAGTAACTCTGCCTTACATTTTGGAAGTTCTAAATCTCTTACAAGATCATTTAATTCTGACTGTGTTATTTTGTGCGGTTGGTGGCATGGCGTGCTCGGTATAAAATCAGGATCTCTTGACGTTGATGGCATATCTTCTTCCTGATGAATCACTCGATCGCCATGATCTGATTCGTTTTCTGATTCGCAAGTGTAGGATTCTGGGGGTTTTGGAATAGGATTTTCGTCACTGTGAGGCACAGGTCTCATCGCAGATGGTATGTTTGGGTAGTTAATAACCGATTTTTTTTTCTTGGACATACCTGTGGCTTGTCCAACACAAGGTACCATGCAAAAGTGACAATCATTAATATGATTTGTAGGCTCTCTCCAAACCATTGGGACAGCAAAACGCATAGACTGTTTTTTGCCTTTTAACCAGCTCCTCAGACTTGAAGCACATGTATTACAGCAGATGTCGGGTGCCTACTGTTTGTCTTGATCACCTAGTTGACAACCGAAATAAAGCTGATATGCCTTTGTTATTAGTGGAGTAATAGACCGTCTCTGAGACGCAAAAGTCACATCACCACACACGTAACAAAACTGATCTAGATTGTTTACACACTTTCGAGACATCTTGCATGAACGCTGTCAGCCAACTGAGGCAAAAATGGCTAATATAAAACAATATAATGTACACGTATGTATAACGTAACACAATCATGCCGATTACATCATCTTTCCTTGCCGAATATAAAAATGTAGCACGTGCATTCTTGTGAATTACAGTATATTAACACTGTCACAGCAGGAACACATATAATTACCGTATCTCTAAACCTTGAACTAATATTGAAAAAATAAGTTTCATTCCGGTTTTAGCACATTAAAAATAGTAATATTTTGTTGATTTTATTTAGGATATTTCTCGGCTGTTGAGAAGAAATCGGACAAGGAAATATTGGACCGATTTCGCTGTTCTCTCTGCTTACAACGATCAAATATTGAACAAAAACATGTGCTCTTCCACCAATCACAAAATAATTCTGTAGCTGACAATAGAGTATGCGGTGAGGGATGTCAGGAAGGGGTTAGGTTGGGCTTACGAATTTTGTACTTTATTATCAAACCTTAATCCTTCTCGATCAACTGTTACCTGAGTATAATCTAGGTACCTCCTACTACTACTTATGTGTAAGTTAAATCGATATGTAAAAAATTCTTGAATTCTAATAAACATACGTAGGTGTTACTTTTCTTTGTCACTCAGTATATTATTTGAAAGATCGCCTCCCGCATAAATAAGTGTATTTTTGTGTATAGTATGTGCGTGAAGGTTTAATTTGAAAACTAAATGAATTCATATAATTTTACTATTTTACTTTTTCTCCGATATTTGGGACCAGTGGAAGAATAGCTACATGAGCTAAGCTTCGCCCTTTTATAATGTAGTCATTATTTGTATAAATAAAGACGATTATTATTATTATATTGATATTTATTTATTTATTTATTGAAATCCACCACCAACAGTGTTAACCAATTACTGGTGGCAAAACAACAATAGAAATAGTAAAAAAAACATATAAAAATACAACGAAAACTAAAAACTAAATCATTTCACTGCAAACTCTCTTAATGTTCGAAATATTTGTGTTGAACAAATCAAATTTACTCTGTAGACTATTATAACATGAACACATCGAGTACAAAGGTGAGTGCAACAGTAAGTTAGTTCGTGGGGTAGGTAGGTAAAAAGTGATTGTATTGCGAGTAACAAATTTTGGAGCATTAAATTTAATCTGTGCTAGAAATGATGGACAATCATAACTGCTATGCACTACTTTATGCAGGAATATTAGCGAGTGAATCTTTCTTCTGTTATCAAGACTGATAAACTTGTGCTTCCGTAACAGGTCTTCCTGTGGGACCCCAATGGGTGGGTACGTACCGTCAATTTTGAATGAAAGAAATTTCAGAAATTTCCGCCGAATCTTCTCCAGAGAGCCACAAGTTGTAACATAGCATGGATGCCATATTAGCCGTCCATATTCTAATTTAGACACTATGAATGAATTATAAAGCATAATCATGGCATCTTTGTTACTTAATTCCTTTGAGTTACGTATTACAAATCCTAATAATCTGTTGACAGCATTAATAAGGTACTCAATATGAGGATTGAAGCTAAGTGACATGTCGAAAATCACACCCAGGTCCTTGCATTCTTGTACTCTCAGCAGAGAATGATTGCCAATTCTGTAGTCAAATATAATAATATCTAGCTTTCTGGTGTAAGACATAACACTACATTTACTGTAGTTAATTGGAAGTCGATTTACAGCACACCATTTAACTATTTTGGCTAGGTCTTTTTGTAAGTGAGCACAGTCAGTGCTGCAGTCGACATTGGAAAAAATTTTCAGATCATCAGCATAGATTAAGTGGCTGCTGTCGATGTCGCTAACAATATCGTTTATGAACAGTATGAAAAGTAAAGGACCTAAGCAGGAGCCTTGAGGTACCCCTGAGGTTGGAAAGAATTCAATGGATTTGACACCCTCATATTCAACATATTGCTTTCTTCCTGATAGATATGACTTAAGAAAGGATAACAGCTTGGGGGAGAATCCAAAATAGCTCAGCTTCGTTAACAGAATACTGTGATCAAGTTTGTCAAATGCTTTACTAAAATCTGTATAAATTACATCCACCTGGCTATTAGCATCTAATGCAGAGGAGACTGACTGAGTAAAACAGGCTAGGTTAGTTATGGTTGATCTACCCTTCATAAATCCATGCTGAGAAGTACTTATTTGGGCATGTGTATTGTGGTATAGGACATTATGAAGCAAAGTTTCTAAGGCCTTGGAAAAGATACATACTAGGGTTATCGGTCTATAATTTTCAACCTGTAGTCTATCACCCTTCTTGAAAATGGGACGCACCTTTGATTCGCCCCAAATTTCAGGAAACGTGTCAGTCTTTAAACATAGGTTGAAGATCTTTGTCAAGGGATGAGGTAAGACGTAGGCACAGTCACGCACTAAAAACGATGGAATTCCATCGGGTCCGGAGGTAAATTTATTTTTCATTTGCTTTAACACTGTAAAAACTTCTTCTTCGGAAAAGCTCTGAAGTATTATGTTAGTATGCAAGTTCGAAATATTGATATCAGTTGCGTTCGAAGGCATAGTATATACAGATTGAAAAAATAGCGCAAAAGCATTAGCAATTTCATTGGGTTTGTCATACTGCTTACCATTATAGTTTACTTGGCTGATTGTGGAATTTTGTCCCCTTTTATTACAGATAAATGACCAGAAATTGTTCGGATCCTGAGATAGTCTACTTTGGATATCTACTAGATATTTTTGATATGCGTTACGCTCATCGCGCTTAATTTTGGTCCTTAAGTCTTTGAACTCAGTGTATGTGATCAAACTTTTATCCTTTTTAAACTTTTTGTGTAGCAAATTTTTTCTTTTAATGTCTCTAATCATTTCACCGTTAAACCAAACTGGAAATTTGAGAGATCTGAGACTTGTCCTAGGGACACACATATTAGAAATTTTACGAAGAATGTTATAAAATGTTTCCAAAGCTACGTTTACATCTGTTAAATTGTCAAGAAACGTCCAATTAACCAAGCTTATTTGTTCATATAGTGCAACAAAATTGGCTTTTCTGAAATTATATGATTCTCTGGCGCATTTGATACTCTTTTTAGAATGGAAGCTCATGTTGATTATCATGACAAGCGGAGGATGGTGAACATCCTCAGGTAGTAGGTCATCATAAGCCTTAACGACGCTACATTGTTTATTTGATAACACTAAATCTAATAGCCTATTATTTTCATTCCGAACATCATTGAATTGAGAAAGATCGAAGAAACCCATAAATGACTGAATTGATGATATCAATTCATAGGTACTGAAACTTTGTATAAAATCAGTTGCGCCTATTTGTGGTCTGGACTACGAATTGACTAAAAGCTACAGTAAAAAATACATTCCAACCAATCAGAAATTTATTAGTTAAGTAACTTGTCATCTATGGCTTTCACGCGGTATTTATTTCGATGCGCTAATGAATACTCCCGAACAATTGCTCGAGGTTGTTTTTGTTTTTCGGCTTATTGGACATGGATGTATTTCATTCAATCCGACTGTTCTAGTCCGTTAGATATAGAAAATAAACAGCAATGCTACGTTCTGGAATATTCAATTGTTACCTACTCTTGTAGTACCTAACAATGTGTACAGTATATTCAGATAAGAGATAGACCGGATGTAAATAGGAGCCCTCATTGGTCAATTCGCAATTAAATGCCTATGCCGAGCGGCAGAGCAGTCGTATCAAGGCAGAGTCACATTCAGGTTCAGACGTGTTACGTATGTCGTGTGCATCATTGCAATTTGATATTTCTTTGGACGTTTTCGTTTGTTATCTTATTAAGTTGTTGAGTTTGTCGTTGTTATTGTTATACCTTGTTATTGATTGTTATTGTTATCAACTGCTTGCGCAAAATGCCCAGTAGTACAGATACTGCCGATGAAGTTGTAAACTCCTAGTAGTCCACCTAGGAAACGCTCTAAAAAAAGACACCTGAGTGCAGAAATGAAAGAGGTCATTTTGAATATATATAAGATCGAGCGCGAGGAGAACGAGGCATCGACCATCAAAGAAATTGTTGTGAAGGTTTCTCACAAAGTTGGGGTGTGTCGCGCATCAATGTTTAATGTGTTAAGACAATACAAAAAAAATCACACCTTTTCTAAGCCAATGACCAGTAAACATCGCAAAAGTATTGATAAATCATTGGATGAAGCTGATAAGCATGCGATTAGGAGGAAAGTGTATGAATTCTTCTTTAGGAATGAAATACCTACTATAGATAAAGTACTGCAGGAGGTAAATGGAGATACAACGTTGCCAAATTTCAAACGATCAACTTTCCATGCGTTACTGAAGCATTCAAATTTCAAATGGAAAAAACGGGGTCGTAATAGTTTACTACTGGATAGAGAAGAAATTGTGCTATGGAGGAGGGATTATTTAACAAAAATTGGGAAATATAGAAATCAAAACAGGAAGATTTATTACCTTGATGAAACGTGGGTAAACGCAGGACACACTACAAGTAAAGTATGGGTTGATGATTCTGTAACTTCATCCAGAAGGGCCTTTCTAGATGGACTGTCCACCGGATTAAAAAATCCAGCAGGTAAATACGAGTAATAGACAACAATCGGATGTTTTTCAAACCTTGGGAACAAGGTTCTAAACATTAATTCCAGGGGGCAGATAAAACATATTACAAGTAACAAAACTTTTATAACTTTCGATAAAATGCGTGGATGTTTTATTGTCATTTTCATTTGTTAGAACTTTTTTAAGCCATGTTTTTATGTGTTTTCGATATTTCAATAATTTTTTAATATAATCTTAAAATATGTCGAATATTATAAACTTAAAAAAAGTTACTAAGTTTTATATTGTGTACCGTTCCTAATATTTCTAATCATTTTAATTCATACTTTAAGCTTTATAAAGTTACAATTTGTTAATATTAATATTTGCGCGTATTTCAGGTTCCTGATCATTCATTTTTTGAAGGTTTATAACTTTAAATTAAATTGTGAAGCGCTGAGTAATCATACGACGTTCAATCTTCTTTCTTTCAATATGACTAAATAATTGCAACTATAGCAATCTGATACTCATGTCTCAATGTTTTTTCGCTGAATGTGATGAAAACATTTGAAAAAGGTTCGCTTATTGAAATAAATCTACACCAGTTAGTACTTCGATTTCCAGGTAAAGGGAAAAGGCTCACTATCTGCCATATTGGCAGTGAGGATGGATTTGTTGTTGACGGTCTGTGGTGCTTTGAGTCTAAGAAAACTGGAGATTACCACGAGGAAATGAATGGCGAATCGTTTGAACAGTGGTTTTCAAAACTTTTACCGAACTTAGAGGAAAACGCAGTAATTGTGTTGGATAATGTGCCTTATCATTCTCGAAGAATGGAGAAGGTCCCAACAACGGCTTCAAGGAAAGTTGATGTTCAAAATTGGCTCCGCTCGAAAAATATCAACTTTGAAGAAGCAATGCTGAAAGTACAATTATTAAGAATTGTCAAGGATCACAAGGCGGAATATCAAAAATACGCCATTGACGAAATGGCAGCAAGTCAAAATAAAACTGTGCTCCGTTTACCTCCATACCATTGCGAGCTCAATCCCATTGAGCTCATATGGGCAGAGGTTAAAAATTATATAGCTAAGCACAATACAACTTTTAAATTTTGTGACCTCAAAGGACTTTTCAAAGAAGCACTAGAATTAATAACAGCGCAAAAATGGGAAAACTGTATTAAGCACGTGAAAGACAAAGTTGAAAAGAGAATGTGGGAACTGGACAATATTTTAGAGGAACAAGTCGAGCCATTCATTATTGACGTTGGTGCTTCAGGCAGTAGCGAT